CTTCACTCTTGGACGCCCCCGAAATAGGGAGGTCATCCTGTTCGATGTGAGCGTCGGCTTACTCCACCTGCGCGGTGGCGTGGGCCGAGGCCTGCCCAGGACGGGGGGAAGAGACTTAAGGCTCGAGTGTGCTGGGGCTCGGGCTTCTTGCGTTGACGGTCCTGGCACGAGCTGTAGCGGTTCAGCTTTTGTGGGATACTTTCAGCAGGAGTCCGAGAATAACATCAGATTAAGTCTAGTCATGTTTTTGAAGGCCCCGCCAGGCAGGTTCGAGAGTTTCGGTAGCAACTCATGGGAGTCTGGTATGCCCTCTTAATCCCGCCTTTAGCGACGATCAGCGTCGACTAGCGTCTGGGAGTCGATGAGGTAGCGCCGATCTAGCGTCGGTCAGCGTCGATATTAGCGTCGATTTGCCGTCGATTGGCGTCGATTTAGCGTCGACTGGCGTCGGCTCGCAAGAGCCGACAAGATGGTATGGGAGGCGCCCATGAGCTGTCACCGAAGGTGAGCTCTGGGATGGCCTCGGCAGGGGGCCACACGCGAACCCCACCCCTGCCCCCCACGACTTCTGATGGGGGGGAGTGGGCTTCATGCACTTCGCTGGGGAGCTCTCGGACGAAGGGAGCCCCACCCTCCCCCTCAGAACTCGTGGGGGGGGCGGGGTACAGTCGGGGACCTGAAGAAGGAACCCTTTTCGTTGGGGAGGGGCTCCGCGTTCCTTACGTGTTTCGCAGCTTGCCTCAGGTTTTCCTTAAGGTTTTCGATAGGACATCGAACTTTCACGTATGGAAAAAAGGGCCCCCGTTCCTTATTTTGGGTTCCTTACGTCAAGGCCCCGACTGTAGGTCACCACCTACCAAACCACCCCAATTCAACCCGCAGGCCTCAATTTGCCCTCCATTTCCAGTGGGGGGGGGTGTCGGGGAACGTTGAAAAACACATGGAATCCGTACCCCCCCCAACCCGAAATTCGGGTCAAATTCGGGTCAAATTCGGGTCTTCGGGTTGGGTTGGGGTGGTCTGGTGGGTAGTCAGTAGGGTTCGCGTGTGGCCCCCCCCTCGGGAAGACCTCCGGGGCCCCCCGGGGTGCGCACCAGGGGGATCCGGCGCTCCCGAGCAGGCGCGGGGCGCCGGGGGCGACCGCGGCGCCCGAGTGGGCGGCTTTCGGGGTGCTTGGCATCGCTCGTACGTATGCATTGTTTCCGTCAAGGACCGTCGAGGAGCATTTTGGACCATCGTGCGAAACATACATGCGCGGAGCCGAAACATGCACGGGGTTTGCCGATCGGCGCGGGCCCTCGCACCCCCCCCCTCCCCCCTTGCAGTAGATCTTGGCTGTTTTTTGCGCCTGTTGCTGGCAGGTGGAGTTTCCCCCATGGGGCGCACCGCTGCAGACAGTCGCACGAAGCAGAGAGGTCCGGAGCCAGACCCTCCCCCCTCGCCCCCCCCTTTTCCGCCCAGTGTCAAAACGCCGAAGAATTACCAGCCTTGAACATATCCCTATCCCTCTGCTGGGCACCTCCTCATCACGATGCCGATCTCAGGGATTCCCCTATTTTTTGAGGGCGCATCCCTGAGACTGTCATCGCCTCTTGGCGTGTCAAGCTTGGGGATAGGGAATAAACTCGAGGCTGGTGAAATGAGGAGACGCTCGAGGATTGACGTCCGAGCGACGGCGAGTGGTGAGGAGGAGGAGGAGGAGGAGGAGGAGGAGGAGGAGGAGGAGGATGAGGAGGAGGAGGAGGAGGAGGAGGAGGAGGAGGAGGAGGAGGAGGAGGAGGAGGAGGAGGAGGAGGGAGGAGGAGGAGGAGGAGGAGGAGGAGGAGGCGGAGGCGGAGGCGGAGGCGGAGGAGGAGGAGGAGGAGGAGGAGGAAGAGGAGAGGAAGAGGAGGATGAGGAGGAGGAGGAGGAGGAGCGCAGGAGAAGGAGGAGGAGGAGGAGGAGCGCCGGAGGCAGACCCCACTCGCCGTCCCCCAGGAGAGGCCGAGCGCGGCCCGAAGCCGCCCCTCTTGGTTTCGTCCACGCCGCGAGGGATCTGGTTTGGGTCGGGCGAAAGGGGGGGTTTGGGAAAGGGGGGGTTACGAAATCTGCTGCATGCAGCTGGTTTCGGCCTCACCGATGGGCCCATTCCTCGATACATGGGCGCCTCCGGCGCCGGGAGGCGCCGGGAAAGTCAGCTACGTGAGCTGATTCTCAACCCCCCCCTTTGCTATCCCCCCCTTTCGCCCGACCCGACTGGTGGGGAGGGCATGGGAGCATGAGCAGAAAACGGGGCACAGCCAAGGTTAAGTCGAGCCTGTCCCTTTGCAGGAGGAAGATTCGGAGATAGTCGAAAAATAGTCAGGGAAGGGTTTTTCGAGTATTTTTCATATTTGTTTTGTTTGTTTCTCTTGAACTTTTAGGTTTTCGTCCAAAATTCGCCTGTAGGGGGACGCGCCCGACCTAAAGCCAGGGCACGGACGCAGCGACCACTGGGCTCAGGCGGGACTCTGGTGTTCGGGTGGCCCCTGTTGGTCCTGTCCACGCCGCGAGGGGCCTGGCGTTGAGAGCACGGGAGCATGAGCAGAGCACGGGGCACAGCCGGGGGAGGAGGAGGAGGAGGAGGAGGAGGAGGAGGAGGAGGAGGAGGAGGAGCAGGAGGAGGAGGAGGAGGAGGAGGAGGAGGAGGAGGAGGAGGAGGAGGATGAGGCTCTCTGGCGTCAGAGCCGCCCCCGCGATATCCCGATGGCGGGGGCCCACGCGTGGCCGAGGCCGGCCGTGGCCAGAGGAGCCGCTTCGTTCCTCCTCCCTGCTGTGCTCCTCCTCCGTCCTCGCTCCTCCTCCTCCGCCTCCTCCTCCTCCTCCTCCTCCTCCTCCTCCTCCTCCTCCTCCTCCTCCTCTCCTCCTCCTCCTCCTCCCCCCCCTCCTCCTCCTCCTCCTCCTCCTCCTCCTCCTCCTCCTCATGGTCGCTCTACGACTGTAAGCGAGACGACGTCTGGGGCCATGGCAGGTGTCTCGCCTTCATCGCTTAGCGGCCATTTCGGCCACCCTCGCAGGACAGCACTTCCTTGGCGAGTGGCGCCCGCCTTGCACCATGCAGCCTCCTCTCGTCATCGATTGTAATGTAACCCTTCATTCCCATCGGTTCCCAGATCAGCCATGCATATCAAAGAACCCCTCGGGGGGAGAACCCACCAACCTCGACATGAGCACTTTGGTTGTGTGGTCAATGTGGCCATCCTGGGACGCCACATCAACCACAACAGATACGAAGCTAGCTAGTTTCGGTGTTTTTGGCATGCGCACGACATCCCCTGGAGTGTGTGTGTGTGTGTGTCCTCGACGCGGTCGTGTCAAGGGAGGACAACCACCTGGACCGGACAATTGGCGTTTACCAAACGGCCTTGGGCGTTTACTAAGCAGCCCTGCCCTGTTTGATTCCTTCCTTGGGCGCGTTTACTAAACGACTTCGCGTGTCGGGGTGGTTATTATGGGGGTGGATGTTTTGATTTCTATTGTGGTCGCTTGCTGTCCTCGCAGATCACCAGTTCTGGCGTGAAGATGATCGCGCCTCGTGCGCCGTGGCCTCGGCCAGAGCGGGCGGCGCGAGGGCGCGAGGGCTCGAAGAGCAATCGCGCGTAGCGCATCGCAGGGCGCGGTGCGCGAAGTTGGGTGACCTGGGGACCGCTGGAACTAAGGGACAAACAAACATTAAGTCGGGCCTGTCCCTCGACAGGAGGAATAATCAAACATAGTAAACAATTATCCCAGTGCGACCCTACCTAGGAGTTGGAGCCCCTAGGAAAGTAGCATTAGTAGTAACAGTAAAGCTAAGCTAAAGCTGATCTAAGATAAAGCTAAGCTAAAGCTAAGCTAAAGCTAAGCGAAAGCGAAGCCATAGCTAAGCTAAGACTAAGCTAAAGCTAAGCTACAGCCAAGCTAAAGCTAAGCTAAAACTAAGCTAAAGCTAACACTAAGCTGAAGCTAAGCCTAAGCTAAACCTAAGCTAAGCTAAAGCTAAGCTAAAGCTAAGCTAAATCGAAGCTAAAGCTGAGTTAAGCTAAAGCTACGCTAAATCTAAGCTAACTCTAAGCTAAAGCTAAGCTAAAGCTAAGCTAAATCTAAGCTAAAGCTGAGTTAAGCTAAAGCTACGCTAAATCTAAGCTAACTCTAAGCTAAAGCTAAGCTAAAGCTAAGCTAAATCTAAGCTAAAGCTAAGTTAACGCTAAGCTGAATCTAAGCTAACGCTAAGCTAAAGCTAAAGCTAAGCCAACGCTAAGCTAACGCTAAGCTAAAGCTAAGCTAAAACTACGCTAAAACTAAAGCTAAAGCTAAAGCTCCCAGGGGACTGGGGGAACCGCTCCCAGGGGACTGGTGGAACCGCCCGGGGCGAGTTCCACTGCCCGGCTCCTTTAAGAAAGAGAGTAAGAACCCTTCTAGGCAGAGCCTAGGTAGGGAAAAATAGTCTGGGGACAATTATTCTACCATTTCTGAGTTTTTGGTGTCTTTTTGTGTATTTTTTATTTTTCGTCCAAGATCCGCCTGTAGGGGGACACGCCCGACCCAAAACAAACAACGAGGACGAGCTGGTCGGGCCGGACGAGCAGCCGCCTACCGCGGGTTCTTGTCGTGTTGACCCCGGCGTTGGTTCCTGACACCGCGGGGATCGTTAAACCTTGAGCGATCGTCGGGTGCGGAAAAGGGGGGGTTGATGACTAGGGGAGGGGTGGATATCATGGCGGGGGGCATGATACTTCCCCAGATTTCATGGCGCCTCTTCTTATTTCAATACGGTCCCGGCCCCCCCGCTGGGCCGCGCACATGCCGCCGGCCATGATTTGCACCCCCCCTCTTGGACACCCCCCTCTTGGGCGCTCCCGAGATCGGCCGCTTCCCAAGTGTCAGATTGTTCAACATCGACCGATTCTGGGTCGTCGGCGGCGTCCAACGTTGAACGCTGGCGGCGGGGTCGCCGCCAGTCGACACGGCACGAACCTACCGTACTTCCCCGCCTTGGCCAGGCCGTCCGGACCGGCCACGTGTACCTCGGCGACAGGCCCGGCCGCCGCCCGGCGGACCGCGTGGGCATTCGCGAGGGCTGCTTGGATGGGTTCGGGCCTTGCCAGAGGAAAGGCGCTGAGCTATCTGCTTGCAACCCATGTGCAAATGGGTTGCAACCCACATACAAGTGGGTTGCAAGTGATTGCAACCACTTGCGCACTTACATACACCTGCTATCTGACGACATCGGATGCTAACTTCTGTAAGTACTTGCCAACATGCACATACGACAACATTACGTTATGTTTGGCGCTTCACGAAAATACCATGTTGCAGATATACAAATGTGTTGTTGCACCGAGATGTCATGTATGCTGTCTCGTTGGGCAAGACAATGCACCAGGTGGAGACTTATGAACATTGCGTTTGTACCCGTCTGCGTGATGCATTTCTCAACATAAAAACTGCATGTTGCACCGAGATGACAGTTCTGTTGGAGCGAAAAGAACAAAATTGCGATCATGTCGACCAGTTTATCTTATTGTACAACTGCCATTTGTGTATGTGTTCGGCTACGGTGCGCTGGTGTATACTAGAATGGAATGCCTGCAAGTCATCTCGTCTCGACCTTTTCGTGCATCCCCGCAGCGCTCTGAATACCGGTTCCCGATCCGGCCATACATGTCGTTTGGGAACAACTTTTTTTCATCTTGAAGAACTCATATATCACACGTGTCTGCAAATACATAGTTTCTATGTGTCAACATTTTTCAACAACAAGAGCAGTTGTACACCATAGATGTATTTTCCGGCGTCGTATGACCTATTTCCGTTACTGTCGATACACCATCTGTTTGTTTTCGGCGTAACACATCATTGCGTGTTAACAGTTCATGATACAACAATATGAGCACATGCCATTCCTGTGCGGGACAAAACTTGAAAGACTTGGTCGTGAAGTGGTGCCGTCCGCTGCCTTCGGGCCAGGGCGCGCGGAGCAGGGTGAGCAAGGTAGGAGGAGGAGGAGGAGGAGGAGGAGGAGGAGGAGGAGGAGGCCTGTCTCGGGGCCCCTCTTGGATGTGTGCTCACAGCCCGCCTCGCGGGTCGGCGGGTCGGGCTTTTGTCGAGTTCGGCATCCAGGGGTTTTCGGCTCCATAGTGGACTGGCCGCCGCTTTGCGGCCGTGTCTGGGCTGCGCGGGACAGGCCCGCGAGCTCCTGGAGGCTGCCGTCAGCCGCCTCGGGCCGGGGCGGGCGGAGCAGGGCAGGCATTCCCACGCATCGACTCGGAGGCCGTCTTGGGAAATGGGCTCATAGCCCACCCCGTGGGTCGGCGGATCGGGCCATGTCGCTTCGGCGTCGCGCCCAGATTCTCATATTGGGGGGATTGGCTCCGTAGTGGGGTGCCCGCCGTCTTGGGTTGTTCTGACTATTCTTGGGGCCATTTTAGGCAGTCCTGTTCTGGTGGGAATATCATGGGTTCTTCTGGGCAGTCTTTGGGCCATCTGGGCACACCCCTCACGTTCGCGCCCCTCACGCGCTTCGAGGTCCCACAGGGAGCGCCACCGAAGGCCCCAGTGGCGGTGCACACATGCGTCCCCGCCACCCATTTCGGCACAGCCGAGGGGGAGAAGGGCGGATGGGGAGGTCCTCCTCCTCCTCCTCCTCCTCCTCCTCCTCCTCCTCCGCCTCCTTGCTGATAACTGTTACTGGGGCTTCTCCTCCTCCTCCTCCTCCTCTTTCTCCTCCTCCTCTGAGTAGAACCCCGTTGCCATCCTTGCCTCCCCCGTCCTCCCCTCTCTCCTCTTCCCTCTTCTTCTTCCGCGCCCCTCCTGGGCCCCCGCCCGCCCAGGGGGGGAGGGGCGAGCCAGGCCCCTCCGCGCTGGAGATCGATGCGTCCTGAAGGACGGCGGCCGGGAAAGGGGAGAGGTGCAGGAGGAGGAGGAGGAGGAGGAGGAGGAGGAGGAGGAGGAGGAGGAGGAGGAGGAGGAGGAGGAGGAGGAGGAGGAGGAGGAGGAGGAGGAGGAGGAGGAGGAGGAGGGGGGCATGATCAAGCTAGGTGCGCTCGCGTCATATCTGACATCCTACCCCTCCCTCCCAGCCCTTACCATGGCGCAGATCCCCTCTCTACTCGCACGGTCGGATGTCAAGCAGGGCGATGATCCTGAAAGGGTACGCGATGCATTGTAGAGCACGGCGTGGCATGGCGTAGAAGAGCACCGCGAAGCGTAGTATCAACCTAGCATTGAATTGCATGCCGTGGCATGGCACGGGAAATGACGCCAGCGCTGCAGCGGGAGCACGAGTCGAAACGAGCGGAAGCGCGGAAATGAGGCCAGCGCTGCAGCGGGAGCGCGATTCGGAACGAGCGGAAGCACGGAAATGAGGCCAGCGCTGCAGCGAGAGCACGATTCGGAACGAGCGGGGCCCGAAAATGAGGCCGGCGCCTCAGCAAGAGCAGTATTATGGGAAAAATTGCAGGCGAAAACCTAACTCCGGGGAAGGCAGAAATTCAGCATTTTCAAAAGACAAATTTGTATTGGAATGGCCTTTTTTCGGCGCCGCCTCGGAACTCGATTTTCCGGCGCCGGCTGGAACCGGCTCGGGACCCGGCCCGGGCGCCGCCCCGGGCGCCGGCTCGGGCGTCCAGCCCGGGCGCTGGCTCGGGCGCCGGCCTGGGCGTCGGAATCGGCCCGGGAGGCCAAAAGAAAAATATGTATTAGAATAGCCTTTTTTCGGCGCCGCCTCGGAACTCGATTTTCCGGCGCCGGCCGGAACCGGCTCTGGACCCAGCCCGAGCGCCGGCCCGGGCGCCGGCTCGGGCAGCCCAGGCGCTGGCGGAAATGATGCCAGCGCTGCAGCGGGAGCACGATTCGGAACGAGCGGGGCCCGAAAATGAGGCCGGCGCCTCAGCGAGAGCAGCATTTGGGAAAACATGTACGCGGGGGGGGGGGGGGGGGGGCGAATATTCCCAAGACGTCATCAGGGGAAGAGGGGGAATAGTATTCATATTGAGTAATTGTAGACAGGATATCGAAGGAGGGGCATCGAAGGAGAGAAAGCGCCAGAGACATAAAACTTTGAGCGCTCCGCGCGGGTGTTTTGCATCCGCGCTGGGCCCCCCCCCCCGGAGACGCCCCTGGCGCGCTCGCGCGCCACGTAGTGGGGTGTAGCGCGGATCCAAGAAGTCCGCGCGGAGCTCGAAATGTTTACATGTATGGCGTTTTTCGTTTTTCTTAGGACATGCGCCGATGAAGCTATCCTTGCCTCGTTTTCGCCTCTTCGAGCCTCCTTGGGAGGCCCTCGTCGCTGCCGCTGGATTCGCCTCCAGATGATGGTCAGGAGGCACCCGGGAGAGGCCCGGGGACGAGCTGTTTCGGTGCTTCTGAGGCTCTCCTTGGTGGAGGGGGGGTGAAACACTAACTCTGGAGGGTTGCAATGGGTACGGCAAGAATCAGGAGGGGAAAAAACACACAGACACAATTAATCGTCGACCCCCAGAAAATATGGGAAAATATGGGAAGTGTGGGGGAAGACGAAAATCCAAAAAATATTGTAAAATATGGGGGATTATTATATTTGTGTGTATTTATTTGTGTGTCCGTGGGCCCCTTCAAAGAATGGCGACGAAAACCGACAGCATTTCCTGCTCATCTGCACAGGGCTCGCTGTCGGTGCTCCCGCGGATGTTGTCCATTTGGGACGCGGCCGGCTGCCCAACGGCGTCCGCTGTCGGTGTTGGACCACAGTTGTTGTTGGGCGTCGTACCCATCTTTTCCGCACCCACGTCGGGCCTCCCAATCTATAGGATAAGCAGGTGTTTTCGGGCCGTTTTTCTACCGTGGTCGGGTGCTTTTTCTTTTCACAGACGTTTTCCTAAAGTTGGTTAGGTTCGTGGGGGGAGGGGGAGAGGGAGGCAGCGGGGAGGTGGCAGGGGGGGGGGAAGGAGGGATGACGGTCAGGAAGAGCAGGAGGAGGAGGAGGAGGAGGAGGAGGAGGAGCAGGAGGAGTGAGGCTGGTGTGGAGGGAGAGTAATACGAAACCTCATCATAATAATGATGTTGATGAAGATGCTGAAGGAGGTGATGATGCTGCAGATGATGCTGCTGATGATGATGCTGCTGCTGATAATGATGATGATGATGATGACGTTGTTGATGAGTGTTATCATGATGATGAAGATGATGATGATGCTGATGATGCTGATGATGATGATGATGAATGGGCTGGACCTAAACGCTGTTTAGCTGGACTTCGGCTGTGTTCTGTTTTTCGTGTTGGCAGGGAGGTACAGGAAAGCAGGCAGAACAAAACGACAATCACAACGTAGTTAACCAAAACGAGCAACAACGTTTAGGCCCAGCCCTGGATGATGACGATCATGATGATGCCGATGATGATGATGATGATGATGGTGGCGATGGTGGCGATTGATGGTGACGATGATGCTGATGCTGATGATGATGCTGATTATATTGATGATGATGCTGATGATGATGATGCTGATGATGATGAGGACGCTGATGCTGATGATGATTATGATGTTGGTGATGGTGGTGATGGTGGTGACCATGATAGTGATGCTGATGATGATGGTGATGGCGATGGTAAGGCTGAGGGTGAGGGTGAGGGTGAGGGTGATTATGATGCTGCTGCTGCTGATGATGATGATGATGATGATGATGATGCTGAGAATGGCGATGGTTGTGGTGATGGTGAGGGTGAGGGTGAGGGTCACGGTGATGATGTTGTTGTTGATGATGGTCATGGTGGTGGTGAAGCTCTTGCTGCTGATGATGATGATGGTGATGATGATGAGGAGGAGGAGGAGTAGGAGGGTGGTGGTGGTTCTGGCGAAGGTGGTGGTGGCGAGGAGGAGGTTGTGGAAGAGGACGATGCTGCTGCTGATGGTGGTGGTGATTATGATGAGGCTGATGATGATGATGATGATGATGATGATGATGATGATGATGATGATGATGATGATGATGTTGATGGTGATGATGACGATAACGATGATGATGACGACGAGGAGGATGAGGGAGGAGGAGGATGAGGACGAGGAGGGGGACGATGATGATGCTGATGCTGATGCTGATGATGCTGATGCTGATGATGATGATGATGATGATGATGATGATGCTGATTATGATGATGATGATGATGATGATGATGATTATGATGATGATGATGATGATGATGATGATGATGATGATGATGATGATGATGATGATGATCGATGATGATGATGATGATGATGATGATGATGATGATGATGATGATGATGATGATGATGATGATGATGATGATGATGATGACGACGACGACGACGTCGACGTCGACGATGACGAGGAGGAGGAGAAGGAGAAGGAGGATGAGGAGGGTGATGGTTGATGAGCACGCCGCTACGAGTTTCAACGCAACGACGCTTCCCGTTCTCACCCGCCGGATCCATTCCATTTTTGGCAGCCATGCTGCCCACCCGCAGCACCCTCTATTCATCTGTTTCGTATTTCTCCATTTCTTCGTCTGTATTCCTCTTTGTGCCTCCACTGACGTGCAAGTTCATGTGGTGCTTCACGGTGCGTCCCAGACGAGGATCCGGGGCCCGAGTTTCGTCCACGTTCGCAGGACTGCCCTTCTACACTGTCGGGGGGGTGTACATTTTTTTTGGCACAGGCAAGCAGGTCGCGTATTCGGCTCGCCTATTGTGACCCTGGGCCTGACGGGGCAGCTATTGGACTGTGTGCTCCCCCAGCCGTTGTGGAACCCCTTGGGAGAACTCTTGAGAAAGAACCTGGAGGATAAGAGGGAGGAGGAGGCGAAGGAGGAGGAGGAGGAGAACCAGTGTAAACTCAAGACGCTTCAACGATGATGCAATGCACCCTCCCTCCAGGCTCCCTCTTCATAGGTCATAGATCTCTGAAACACTTTATTTTCATTCAGGGCTCGACCTAAACGGTGTTTCCTACTTTTTCCCATCAGTTTCCGTTTTACTTTTGTTGTTCGTTGTGAACGCGTTTCAAACACGTTTTCACATGCTCTGAACGCCGGCCGTCGCGCCCATGCGTTTTGGCCACCGGGCTGCCGTTTTGTTGGTCGTTCTGTTCTGGCACAGGCGCGTGCCGCACGTTTTGTTGGGCGTTCTGTTTTCTCGAGGGCAGGCGCCGCTTGTTTTGTCGGCGTTTTGTTTTGCTGGGGGGTCACCCCCCCAGCACCACCACCCTGCACAATCCCGAAGCACCAGCCCCCCTCAGCACAACCTCCAGCACAACCTCCAGCACAACCTCCAGCACAACCTCCAGCACAACCTCCAGCACAACCTCCAGCACAACCTCCAGCACAACCCCCAGCACAACCTCCAGCACAAACTCCAGCACAACCTCAATCACAACCTCCAGCACAACCTCCCGAACGACCTCCAGCACGACCTCCAGCACAACCTCCAGCGCAACCTCCATCACAACCTCAATCACAACCTCCAGCAAAACCTCCAGCACAACCTCCAGCACGACCTCCAGCACAACCTCAAGCACAACCTCCAGCACAACCTCCAGCACAACCTCCCGCACAACATCCAGCACAATCTCCAGCACAATCTCCAGCACAACCTCCAGCACAACCTCCAGCGCAACCTCCAGCACAACCTCCAGCACAACCTCCAGCACAACCTCCTGCACAACCTCCTGCACAATCACAACCTCCAGCACAACCTCCAGCGCAACCTCCATCACAACCTCCAGCACAACCTCCAGCACAACCTCCAGCACAACCTCCAGCACAACCTCCACAACCTCCAGCAACCTCCAGCACAACCTCCATCACAACCTCCAGCCCAACCTCCATCACACCCTCCAGCACAACCTCCAGCACAACCTCCAGCACAACCTCCAGCACAACCTCCAGCACAACCTCTAGCACAACCTCCCGCACAACCTCCAGCACAACCTCCAGCACAACCTCCAGCGCAACCGCCAGCACAACCTCCAGCACACCCTCCCGCACAACCTCCAGCACAATCACAACCTCCAGCACAACCTCCAGCACAATCTCCAGCACAACCTCCAGCGCAACCTCCAGCACAACCTCCAGCACAACCCAGCACAACTTCCATCACAACCTCCAGCACAACCTCCAGCACAACCTCCAGCACAACCTCCAGCACAACCTCCAGCACTACCTCCAGCACAACCTCCAGCACAACCTCCAGCACAACTTCCAGCACAACCTCCAGCTCGACATCCAGCACAACCTCCAGCACAACCTCCAGCACAGCCTCCAGCACTACCTCCATCACAACCTCCAGCACAACCTCCAGCACAACCTCCATCACAACCTCCAGCACAGCCTCCATACTCCAAATTTGCCGTCTCTAGGGGTTGTGCTGGCAGGTTGTTCCGGGGGGTTGTGCTGGGGGGATGTGCTGGGGGTGTGTGTCGGGGGTTGTGCTGGGTGGGTTGTGCTGGGGGGTTGTGCGGGGGGTTGTGCCGGGGGATTGTGCCAGTGGGTTGTGCTGGGAGTTGCGCTGGAGGGTTGTGCTGGGGGTGTGTGCTGGGGGATTGTGCTGGGGGGTTGTGCTGGGAGGTTGTGCTGGGGGTTGTGCTTTGGGGGGTTGTGCCAGGGGGTTGTGCCAGGGGGTTGTGCCAGAGGGTTGTGCTGGGAGGTTGTGTTGGGGGGTTGTGCTGGGGGTCGTGCTGGGAGGGGGGGGGGGTTGTGCTGGGGGGTTGTGCTGGGGGGGTTGTGCTGAGGAGTTGTGCTGGGGGGGGGTTGTGCTTGGGGTTTGTGCTGGGTGATTGCGCTGAAGGTTTGTGTTGGGGGTAGTGCTGGGTGTGTGTGCTAGGTGATTTTGCGGAGGGGGGTTGTGCGGAGGGGGGTTGTGCTGGGGATCGTGCTGTGCGAGTGTGTGCTGGGGGGTTGTGCTGGGATCTCCACCTAAATCGTCACTCGCTCCCTCGCGGATTAAATCTTTATCTAGATCTCCGCCTAAATTGTTACTCGCGCCCTCGCTGCTTAAACCTTCACTTGGCTCGTCGTCGTCGTCGTTGTTCCTTGGCGCTGGCTCGTTTAGTTTTTTCCGTTTTGTTGGTGGCCCGCGGCCGTGCCACCGTTCTGTTATGCGTTTCGTTTTCGGCTGTTCGGGGGCCGCTGTTTTGTTCACCCGCTGTTTTGTTCCAGAACGGCCCGCGCGACGCCGGCCGGCGTTTTCGCTCAAACTTCGTTTTTAAACGAAAACGGAATTTGAACAGAAAACATTGTTCAGGTTGAGCCCTGTTTTCGTTTCGGGGAATGGCCCATGACAAGACAACCGTTTCAGAACCCTCAATCGTGCCAAAACACTGTTCCTGGGACTACACCGCCGCGGAGCAACATGAGACTGTCGCGTCTTGAATCGTAAGTCGCGTCAAAACACCATTCCTGAGACTTTCACGCCGCGAATCAACGAAACTATTACCTCGTGGCAATCCTGGATCGCGCCAGAAAACAATCTCTCTGACTTCGACCACACGAATTCTTGAAACTGCTGCAGACTGTCGAGACGACCGTGCGCGGCGCCGAGGCGAGAGACCCACGTTTTCAAGCGGAGCCGCTCTCCGTCCATGAGCACCAGCTGCGGTCTTGAGACGAATGGTGCGCGGCGCCGAGGCGAGAGCCACATTTTGTACACGGACCTCCCTCCGCCCTCCACCCTCCTCCTCCTCCTCCTCCTCCCTGCCCCGACGGCATCCCCTGCTCGGCATGGGCGCGGGCCGCAGGTGCCGCCCAGCGCCCCCGGCGTGCGGCCCTGCCTGCCCTCGTGGGGGCGGAGAGCGGCGCCTGCCTCTCGAACTCGAAAGCACCTGTCTCAAACTTTTAAAAACGAATGTGAGCGGCGCTAACGCGAGATCCATATTTTGGAAACCACCCGCCCTTCACCAGTGAAGCTGCTGCACCATGGATGGGGCGAGTGTGCGCGGCGCTGGGGCGAGAGCCACGTTCTGGAACGGACCCGCCTTCCACCCCTGAACCGCTAAAACGCCCGCCCGGCGCGACAGGGAGGAATTATGCATCAGGAAAAGGGGTGGGGCAAGAGGAGGAGGAGGAGGAGGATGAGGAGGAGGCGGAGGCGGAGGCGGAGGCGGAGGCGGAGGCGGAGGAGGAGGAGGAGGTGGACGATTCGGAAGGAGGGAACAGGTGGAAGGAGGGAGGAGGACGATGAGGAGGCACAACGGAGATGAGGATGAGGTGTTGGAGGGTGGGAGAGAATCAGTGGGTTAGTGATGATGAGGCAGGTTATGCATACGACGAATCTAACCTGGATGTACACAATGGAAGGATGCGGTAGATGATGATACTGATGCTGATAGTGGTGATGGTGACGGCGATGGTGATGCTGATGACGACGACGATGATGATGCTGATGATGTTGTTGTTGATGCCGATCAGGTGGATGATGATGATGCTGATGTTGGTGCTGATCATGCTGATGGTGCTGGTGATGACGATGATGATGCTGCCGATACTGATGATGATGCTGATGCTGATGCCGCTGATCATGCGGCTGCTGCTGATGCTGAGGTTGACGGTGATGTTGATGAGTATGATCATGACGCTGGTGATGATGGTGACGACGATGATGATGGTGGTGTTGATGGTGCTAATGGCGATGCTGATTTTGATGATGGTGGTGATGATGATGATTATCATGTTCATGCGGATGCTGATGCTGGCGTTGATGCTGCTGATGATACTGCTGAAGGTGATGCTTTTGTTGTGCTGACAATGCTGCTGATGATGATTATGTCAGCTGTTGCTGTAATGCAGATGCTAGTGCTGATGCTGATTATTATGATGCTGACGCTGCTGTTGAGGATTCATGGTCATGATGGTTATGACCATGATGCTGCTGCTGCTGATGCAAGCGACGACGACGGGGACGATGAGGATGATGATGATGACGAAGATGCTGATGATGCTGATGATGATTAATAGGGTGACGATGATACTAATGATGATTGTGATTTTGCGTATGATGAAGATGATGCTGCTGCTGATGATGGTGTGGGTAGTGGTTGTGGTACTGATGCTGCTGCTGATGACGATGATAATGCAGATGCTGATGCTGATGCTGCTGATGATGATGATGATGCTGCTGCTGATGATGATGATGATGATGATGACGATGATGATGATGATGACATGGTGGGGTTGATGGCGAGGGTGATGGTGCTGCTTCTGATGACGATGATGATGATGCTGATGATGATGACGACGACGATGATGATGATGATGATGATGATGATGATGATGATGATGATGATGATGATGATGATGATGATGAGGTTGTTGGTGGTGATCATGGTGATGATGATGTTGCTGCTGATGATGCTGCTGATGGCGATACTGCTGAGGATCATGATGCTGGTGATGATGATGATGTTGATGACGATGATGGTGATGAGGATGCTGAGCGGGCGAAGGGTGACGAGGAGGGGATGATGATGAGGATGCTTATGATGGTGATGCTGATGATGATGATACTGTTGATGGTGCTGATGCTGCTGTTGACGATGATAATGATGACGATGGGAATGGTGATAATGTTGAGGATGCTGCTGCTGCTGATGATGATGATGCTGATGATGCCGATGATGATGATAAGGAAGGGAAGGAGGAGGAGGAGGAGGAGTGAACAGGAGAGCTTGGATGATGCATCATGGTATGCGTTAAGGAAGGAGGGGGGATAATTGAGGAGGACGGGGCGATCGCGGAGAGGGGGGGGTAGAATGGAGAAGGGAGGGAGGATAATGAGGTTTGGTGGAGAAGCAGGAGGAGGACTGTCAAGGTGAGGGAGAGGCAGGAGGACGGGCGGAGGGAGGGAGGAGCAAGAGGAGGGAGGAGGCGGGATAAAAGCCAGAGGAGGAGGGCGCAGGAGGCGGGGTAAGAGCCAGTGGAGGAGGAGGAGGCGGCGGCGGCGGAGGCGGAAAGGGGATGGCTGGAGGGGACGGGCGCGCACCTCAAGAGGCAGGGAGGGCACTGCGGCAGGACGGGGACCGCTTCTCGCTCGCGCGCCCGCCGACACCGCTGGCGTACGAGGCTCCAGGGGGTCTCCAAAAGAGGTCAGAGGAACGTGGGCCGGGGGCGCTTCTGAGGGGGGCGACCCAGGGGTCGGGGTGGGGAGCGCGGAAGTTGGTGCTGGTTGCCCTCTCCTCGACTTCCTCATCCTCCACCGTGGCTGGCGCTTGGCATTGTGGAGTCTCTTCTTCTCCCGGTGTGGGAGCTCGATGATCCTCAGGACGTGAGTTAGCCCAGTGCGTATTTGTTTGGTTCAGTTCCGCCGAGTGCATGTAGTCTGTGTTGGCCCTGAAGCGCACGTTGGGGCTGGTACACGTTCTGAGGATCGTCGATCTCAGCGAGGAAGCACGCAGTTTTCATGTTGGAAATCTGTGACGGCGGATAAGGGATAAAGGGGAGGTCTCTGTTTGACGGCGGCTTCGCACCGAGAGTGCTCGATTGCAGTTTGGCTGGGCCCTGCCGAGGGTGCACTCGAAAATGAGCATCGCCATATCAAACGCTCCGTGGGTTTCTCGGCCACGCGTCTCCAATTCGGTGGACATGAATGCATCCCTGGCGTGGACTTACTGCCTCCATGCTAGCTTGCAGGCGCACGAAATACCAAACGCTAGGCAAGTCAGCTACAGTGCTTTCACTGTAGGATATGGGGTTCTACCGACCTGTACCAGACCTGGATCTCTGCAAGCACCTATACGGTTGTAAGGGCCAGTCTACCCTGGACGCTTCGCGTTTCCCCTTGAGCCTATTCAGAATCGCTGCCCGGGCGAGTTGCATAGATCAGGTTAACGTAGGAGCATGCAGTGGAAAAAAGGACATCTATGGAATCTAAGTTGTAGATAAGCTTGGGCAGATTTAGCAGGGAATGCCTTCGCCATGAACCTGTCGAATGAAGATGAGGCGGGGGAGGAGGAGGAATGGTGATGGCGATGATGCTGCTGATGATGCTGCTGATGATGCTGCTGATGATGATGCTGATGGTGGTTGTGATCAGTATATATATATATGGCCTTCGTGGGCCAGCGTTGGGCCTCTTTGGGGCTCGCAGCCGGCAGCCCAGCAGCGCGCATGTCGAACATAGTATGTTCTGAAGGAGGTGGAGGAAGAGGAGGAGAAGGAGGAGGAGGTAAAGGAGACGGAGGAGGAGGAGGAGGAGAAGGAGCAGGAATTAGGGAAGAGGGGTAGAGAGGAGAAAGAGGGTGAGGATGAGGAGGAGAGGAGGAGGATGCCCTGCTTCATGCTAGCCCAGCCACTCGCCTGAGACATATTCGCGCCTCTGGGGCCCGAAACGCCCTGAGATGGCCTCAGCTGGTGGTGTCCGGTCGCTCCCGCTCAGGAACTCCTCTCCCATTCCGACTTGGCGGTGACCCGCCCCGTGTCCACGCGCAGGGATGCCGCCTGCATTCGATTCTACAAGGAATCAGGTGCATGGCGCGAAACGCCAATGCAGGCTTGCATATGGAATTCCATGCATATATATAAATATGTATAGATAATCTGTGTGCATGGCACGTGCGTGCGCCTCTCGCTGCCACTTGAACCTCAAGGGGCCGCTTTTGCCAGGCACAAAAAGCATCATACATCACACTAGTAGCGGATTCTGCTACGTACGGATTTCGGCGACCGCACCACTGCGCAGGACGCGTTTCTCCAGAGAGAATTCCTCACGATCAGCTCATCGTGCTTCGTACTTGCTTGAGCAGTGACGCTTGCGAGGGAACTGTAGACTGGATAGCCAGTTGCTTGCGCAGTTGCCTTGGGCCGGCCCGCTCGCTCTGCTGCCAGCTATCACCTTGACCCCCCCCAGCCTAGATGAATACGCATCATCGTAGCATGCCAAGGCATTTGTACGGGTATGCCTACGCATGCATCGAAGGATGCGTCCGTGGACGTAGCTGGTCGTAGCTGGTCGTAGCCGACGCCCAGGCATCTGCTACGTGATGCCTCGGCATCGGCAGGACGGTGCGCAGGGTAGGCATCGATGGTTCAGGGTGCAGAGCCACTGGGTCGTGCCAACACTTGCTTGCACCATGGAGCTGTCTCCCCTTCTCATAGACCACTTGCCGATTCACTGACCATATCGGAGACGAAGAGTACTTCCTTCATTCATGACGGTACAGTGGACAACGTCACGGATGGAAATTCCGCACCGGGATGCGCATGAACGCTGCCCTGGCCGCCGTTGATCTTGCAACGGGGGAGCCACAGCCACAAGCCATCACATCAGCCGTTCGTAGGGTGATAGAATGCCTCAGATGCGACCCCATAGAAACTGAGGAAGCCCAAACCCCCTTCCAAGTAGGACAGAGACCCGCAGAAGGCGCAGGTGGAAACCTGTCTCCGTACATTGTGTAAATTGCGCACAGAGCGCAAGTAAATGTCCCCGCCTGCGTGCGCGTGCGTCAATTTTGCATTTGTCGCAAATGTCGGAGCAAGGCGTGAACATTTTCTCAGAAAAGGGCGCAGACGTTGAGTTCGCAGACAACGTAAGTAATTTTGCGCGCGCGGTAATTTTGCAATTTTCGCGAATTTCGCAAATTGCGCAGAGAGCTCAAAACAAAGTCGCGCCGACGTAAATTTCGGGTATATCTCCGGTCTTGCGCCCACCAGGAAACAACACCGAAGCTCAGACAAACTATTATTGTTGTTTTGCTTTGAACATTGTTTTGGTGGCGCCGAAGGATGGCGTTATCGCGCGCACGTCCCAACTTGGACTATGGGGCCAACCGCCGCCCATGAATCGCGCGAGTGTTTGCATTTAGATCGGGCCCAACCCAGCTAAAAGTGGCGTTGCCTTGGTGTTATAGATATCATATAGGCGGCCACAGGATGGGCACCACATCGCCACAATATTGAGGGCCGTGGTGACATCGCCCGGCTGGTGCGAAGAGGCCCAGATACAAATTGTGTTAGATCAGAAGAGAAAAGGGAGGAGTGGGATGAGGGAGGAGCAATTGGAAGGGGGGAGTGAGAGATGGGGATGGGGAGAGGACGACGAGGGCAGGGGGCAGGGGTGCACATGCCGGGGCAGATGGCGTCGCATGAACTTCGGAAGCACCGTCGAGACGACATGCCACTCACCGCGCCGTTGGGTCAAGTTCGGCACTGGATTCGCCGGCGTCGGTGCCCGTGGCGTTCCGTTGGTGCCAGGGGTGTCGGGCCGGCAAAAATATGTTTGCCAGCCCCAGCCGGCGGTCGCCGCCGATTTTCGCCAACCCTGTAAAACTGGGGCCGGCAAAACATCGGTGGCCTTGTTTGGCACCACGCGGGGGGGGGCCGGCAAACGTATTTTCGCCGGCCCCTCCCCGCCGGCACCATGCGGGGACGGAAACGAAGGCGGCGCCCAGGCGTCGTTCCTGTTCGGTTGCCCGGGGTTCCGCTGGAGGCCAACCGAGGCGTCAGGGGCATCCCGGGGGGTGCAGAAGCATCGGGGACTCAAGGAGTGCATGCTTCAGGCGATCCACAATGAGAATTGTAAGCGCCAGCTCTCACACAATGCCCATGCACGTCCCGCTTCTTCCCTCCATCAGGGCCCGCGCCTCGGCATGAGCATCTGAAGACCAACGCGCGCCTGGCAACTTATGTTTGGTGACCGTCCAGATCTTGCCAGGCATGCGGTGTCACCGCGCTGCCCCCTAAGGTATAGCTGGGTTGGGCCCGGCCCAAGTTTGTATTGCAATCACTTAAGCTGTTCCAACGTTCCCACGACGCATTCATCCGATCTTGCCCCCAAGGCCCAACAGCGCAGATTCAATGCGCGTGTCGCGAAACAAACTTACATCTCATGCGCGCAAAAAGCGGCGCTCCGCAGCGCACCGCGACGCGAGCTGCTACATTGCGCAAGAGGAGGCACCCAGATACTTTCAAGAGGGGCCTAACTCTGCTCCAAGGGGCCCCAGGGTGCCTGGAGACACCCCGACAAAGCGTCGCCACTTCAAACGGACAACGCGGGAACCAACGTCAGGTGCCCTCTTGCCATTTCACCTGCAACGCAAGGACCTATCAAAACTAGTGGCCCGCATGCATGCTTTTCTTTGCAGTTCGCTCGCTCGGGAGCCACGCGCCCCGCAGTGGCTCGCGTGGTCGCGTGCTGAGCCCGCGTCGCAGGAGCCCCCATTTGTCTTCCAAGGTCGGGGCTCGTGGTAATTTCATGTGTTTGTTTCGGCCTAGCGCTTGTTTGCGCGACCTTCAGCGGTTAGTGAAGTTACGCTTGCCTTGATTGCCGCCGTCGCATTGCTATTTGCCCAGACTTTTGTTGTAATGTCTCGCCCTTGCGAATTACATTGCTTTTGCTTGTCGTGCTCGCGTCGTCGTTCTTCGCGGTCGAGTTGTTTTCGATTTCGTTCGTGCCAGCCGTGCTGATCGCGCCTCTCTCGGAGTTGCCTACTTGGGCATGAAGCATCGCGCGGGCTCGCATGTTTTCGCAATCAGATAGCTGCGCTTCTACCCCAACGTTGCGCCGCTCATTTTTGGTTGAAATCGTTTATTTTGGATTGGCGTTTTGTCGCCGAAAGCTTCGCCAGTAGAATGCCATTACTGATCTATCCAAAATGTCCGAGCTCGGAATGAGCATATTCCCGGATGGCCGCGCAGCCGTGGAGTGCGCAGAGACCGTGCGTAAATTTTTGCGCGCGCGTCAATTTAGATTTGTTTGGTAAGTTCCGTGCCTGGCGCATGGGGCGCAAGGAAATGTCCGCGCCGAAGTAAGTGTCGCAAGTATTCAAAACGCCCGAGCAAGGGATGTGCATTCAGCCGTAAGGGGGCGCAGTCGTGGCATGCGCAGAGATCGCGCGTAAAGGCGCGCGCGCGAATCTTTCCCACTGGCTCGGAAACCTCGGAAGTTGCGCAAATAACGTAAGTAACTATGCGCGCGCTTAAATTTAGCGTCTTTCCCACATCTCGCAGCAAGGCGCGAGCGTTCCCCCAGGGGAGGGCGCAGGCGTTGAGTTCGCAGAAAACATAAGTAAGTTTGGTGCGGGCGTTCATCTCGCAGAGGGCGCAACACAAATTCGCGCCGACGTAAA